GTTACTTTGCCCAGGATTCACAGAACACAGGTTACATGTATTAGCATTGTTTTAGAAGCATTTGTCCAGCTTTGGCTCTGCATATTTAGTATACAATGAAACTGTAGTTTATTACTTTGTAAAATACTCTATTTGTCAAAGTGCAAATGGTTGTTATCTTGTGCCCACATTTACTGCAGATCTGCTGTAGACATTATTGTGTGTTACTGAGTAGATTTATTGTGTGTGTAAAAAAATATACACACTAAAAATTCAGTGCAATCTATTTATTTTGTATTTTAACTGAGCTTTATTCAGATATGCAGCCCAGAGGGAAAATAATATAGGATTTACTCTGTAAACTCTGATTCTAACCTCGATTAAGCCTGAGTGTACCTTCAAGGCCCAAGAACCTTTCAAGTCATTTTCTGTTCTCCGTTTTCTTTCACAGTGTGAAAGCACCATATTTACTACCTTTACTGTTACTCAATGAAACTAACCTTTTCCTTGTACTTAATATTTTATATCATTTTTGCAGTTCTACTTTTGTCATAAGTCTACGGCACTGAAAGCCTTCCAGACATTGGCTTTAGAAGCAAAGGAACTAAAATAAATGTCTGCTGAAAATAGTAAAGCAATATAAATATAATATATAATGAAGTGTCATCACTGGCATCTCTGTTCACACCATCACTGACATTGGTCAGTTTATGCTCACATTAATTTACTGCCCTAACCAATATTCAATCCTGATCATTTTAAACCTTTTATTCCCTTCTCCAGAAGGGGTTAAAAATATATATTTTCATTTTAATGTTTTTTGGGACACAACAAATTGTCATCACATCTAAATGAGGGGAAACATTTATAAAAAGCAGACTTTGCTGGTTTTACAGTTATAGAGCTAAAGCATATACTGTTCTTGATAGTTCTAATGTTGGAAATGTGCAAATAAGTTTACAAATGTTTATAATGTTTATAAAAAAAGTAAAGTAAAATACTATGGAGTATTAAAGTATGGAGTTTCAGAACTCCATACTTTGGAAAAAAATATGGAGAAATTGTACACTTAGGGCTTGTTCACACCATAAACAGTGTTCCAGAGCGGTCAGCTGCTGGAAAGTACTGTATCGCATCCTGGTCAGCTTCCTGCGTTCAGGCATGGCGGTGCATTAAAGTCAATGGCACCGTAGCCACGTCCCCACCCACAGTGCGAACGCCTGCACCAGAATGCATAGCAAAACAATGCCTGCATTCCGGTCAAGTGCGATCTGAAAAAATAGAGCTTGCAGCATTTTTTCACATTGCACTGGACTGGAAGGCAGGCATGTGCCACGCATTCTGGTGCCGGCGATTGCACTGCGCGTGGGGGTGTGGTTTCAGGTACCATTGACTTCAATGTGCTGCCACACCCCCTCCCGCCCCTTTACTGACTGCTCTGTTTATGGCGTGAACAAGCCCTTAAAGCACCATTTCTTGTAAGATCACCTCAGTAAAATAATACAAATTCAAAATCTATTACTTCATGATTATAAGACAAATCTGGAATGAGTATGCAATATGTGGAAAAGGCCAAACGTTAGTCTCCTTTTCATTTCACACTACTTTCTACTATGTGCTTTTGATTGATGACTATTATACTTGACAAAGACCACACAACTAGCATTAGGATGGCATTATGTCCACCAATCACAATGGTAGATTAAACCACTCTAAACATAATTTACTAATAGTTCAGCTCTGTGTGGCTTCTACCACCAATCAATACCCAGATGAACTCAGATGCTAAATGGCTATCATTGCACATGCAATTAAATAATGATTCTTTTTCCCATGAATGCAATTATTAACCATTAGCAGATCACAATCTGTAAATTAACATTCTCTAGTACAGTTCCTCATGTGGTGAGAGCATTACTTCATGTACCAGCTGCGAACTAAGAGCGCGCACTGGAGTTCTAAGTACCTCACTGAGAGCCACAGGCCTTAGACTAACAAACAAATGGTTCCCGATCATGTGATCACCATGACAGGCAGTTATGGTGATTACATGCAGACTGGAAATGTTTGTTTTAAAAAAATATGATTAACAAAAAATGCTATGCAAAGTAAGCAATAATACATTTCTTTTCTAATTTTCATCCATTTGTCAGCTTTTAGTAGAAAACCTGTGCAGGGTTTTTAAAACTGTGTATCAAATATAAGCATTTTATGTCCTTAAAATGTAGTACAACTTATAGTTTTATTTCTTGTTTTAAATATTTCCCCTGAGGTGTTGATAGCTTGTAGGGAAATAAAGTATTTGTTGTGCTTATCACTGTGGAGGGGAGTGCCAGGCCCAATGAATTGCAAATAGGGTCATTGTTGAGCCCAGGCATGTCCAGATAATTACCATAGAGGTGCAACTTCAGTATCCTGTGTATCAGGAGCCAAGACCCTTTGATCTAATAACAAGTAGACTGGCCAATCGTAGAGAGGGGTGTGGAGTTGTAAAGAGGGTCTTGGAAACCCTCCAATCTCCAGTAGGCCTTGGGAGGCAACCAATGGGAGATTTGTCATGCACCCCTATGGACACGAGGGCTATATTAATGACTGGAAAAAACAGCTCGGTCTCTTTTCACCAGGATGGGGCCTCATGTGACGATTAATGGGTAACTATACATATAATCTTTCCCCCACTTAACTGTATGTCTGTTTGTCGGTTAGATACCAATGTCTGGGTATTTGGCATGTTTAAATCTTTTCTTTGTATGTTGTAGTTAAATAGATTGTTGGTTCATTGTATTTAAGTCTTGATACTATATACCAATAAATTCTGTTATTGTGTTGAGCTCAAAAATCTCATGAATGAATCCTTAGAATATTATACCTGTAAGTGTGAATGCTTATATAGCGGTTCATAACTTAAAATAGTAATTCAGGTAACATAATTGGCGACCACGAAGGGACATGAGATTTTGAGTATCAGCACAATAGCACCTAGACCTGGTTAATACAGGTAAGGTTATTGGGGTGGTTTTAAAACTGAGGATCAGTTTACCAGTAGTATAAGGCTACAACAATTCTGTTTAATTAATATAGGCACTTTTTATGTTTAAATGGGTGGGTATTAGAAGAACTCGAAAAACGAGGGAGGATACACCACATCATGTTTTATTTTTTATTTTAAATATTAAAAAAATCCCGAAATTGTATGTATATTAGAAGAACTCGAAAAACGAGGGAGGATATACTGAGCGGGAAGATTTTGCTTTTTGTTATGTTATTTTTGTTTGTGGGTTGTTACCAAAGTAATTTTTATCAGTGAGGCACAGAAAGATTGTTTTTGTTTTGGTGAAAAGCCTTAAAGTTTTAAGTTGTTGCAACGAAGTGCATAGTAGTTATTTGGAAATAACGTTAAGAGGACATTTTGGTCGTATGGTATTATATGTGGAAAATACCTTAATTCTTGGACAAAGGATGTTTAGAGAAGTAATAACCTCTTCAGATATATAAGAGTTTAATGGGATTTCTGTGCACATAAAGCTGTGCATGTGTGGTCATTGGACCAGATAAAGATAATAATTGAAGGATTGTGGTATGTACCACACAGTTTTTCCTTGTAACTTTTTCTGGTAACATTTCTGAAGTTGTATCCCAGGTATTAGCCTATAGGTTTAATATCTGTTAAATTTAGCAAAATAAGTTTGCATTTCCTTTACATGTGGACTACTTTGTTAGACCTTTTGTGATTGGTATTGAGGGCCTTTGCAATTGTTTGCTGTCTCTATTGTCTGTCTGGGTGTTCCCCTGTACTATTGTTTGTGTGTTTACAGTATTGACTGTATCCCTTCACCTTTGTTCTTAGTGTCTCCTCTGTCTATTGCCATTCGTGTATAGTCTCAGGCTACACTATTGTTATTGTAAAATCTGGTAACTCAATACTTGTTTGTACAAAACATTTGAGTCATTGCGTGGCATACGTTTTTCGTATTTTGTTAGATAGTAAAATTTTGTACATCATGGAACATTTGCTGGTCAAGATCGCTAAAGTTAAAAATAGTGCTGCAATCTTAAAAATAATGGAGCAATCTAACAGCCCATGGCAGCAGGTACAAGAGTATGTAAAATTAAAGCTAAATGAGAAACAATTTAGTAAACGTGACGGAAAGAATACACTACTCTTTGCTGCCTGTTGGATTGCTAATCAATATGAAAATTTAAAATTGCAGACTGAAACAATAAAAGGAGATCTTGAAAAAGCAAATGCTTCTATCAGTAGTTTAAATGTCTCTTTGATCAAAACTGAGACTAGCTACCTACAGCTAAAAATAGAAAATGAAAGATTGCATGCGGGGCTTGATCATATTGCTCAGAGGCTGCAGCATGCAGATTGTGAAGTTAAACGGGTGTCTGCATCTTCCAGCAAGGAGACAGTTGTTCAACCTCCACATGCAATAGAACTTGATGTGGCAGATGTGGATGTTTCTAATTTCAACAAGAAATCGTCCACATCTGGTAGTACTAAGGTAAGTCAATCCTTGGAAGGGCTAAAAACTTTCAAAATTGACCCTACATATTGTAAGCAGCCAGGAAAAGTTGCTAATGTTCACATGTTTAAATCTTTTCTTTGTATGTTGTAGTTAAATAGATTGTTGGTTCATTGTATTTAAGTCTTGATACTATATACCAATAAATTCTGTTATTGTGTTGAGCTCAAAAATCTCATGAATGAATCCTTAGAATATTATACCTGTAAGTGTGAATGCTTATATAGCGGTTCATAACTTAAAATAGTAATTCAGGTAACAGTAAGCAACTTAATCATAAAGGTATTATTAATTAACCATCACACACATATAGGGGTTAAACTACCATTACCAATGTTATCTGGTTCCAAATATCCTGTTGGCATTCTGATAATCCCTTGGGCACAAGGCACTGTAGCCCTTCACATTCATACTGGTTATACTCAGATGTGTACATGAACTTTAATTCTAATAAAGTAACAGGCTTAAATATATATTACTATATGATCCTACCATTTTCAGTGATAATACGTGGTACTTCTTTTTCTGCTGGCGAAATACATCGGATCTGATTTCCAACCACCAGGCCATCCATTTCTGAAAGGTCTTCAAATGTACAGTTGACACCAGCAGACAGCTCTGGCACATTGTAAGCCTCTAACACTAGCTGTAAATAAAAAAAACAAAAAAAAACATAAAATCCAGTGAACCAAAATCAGAACTATGTTCACTGATAAACAATCTTAAGTAAAGCCACTGTAAAAAATAGTGCATTGCATATCCATGTGACTGCAGTCAGCACCTAAAAAATCTCCATGAAAAGTGTAATTAATCTTTTGACTGTGGTGTAACAATCCTGTTCTTGGCTCCAGGCTGCTTTACTTTGTTTTCTTTGTTTTCCCCTCACTAGCATGGTAAAGTTGAAACAGGCCTATTGTAATATTACAGGTCTCCATTAATACAAATTATACCTTTAACAATAAAAAGTATTAATTCAGCTTTCAGCACCAGTCACATAATTGTGACTAAGCTTGAGAGGTGCAATGTGGAAGAATAAATTAATCAGCGTGCTGCAGGCATAGTCCTCCCATCTTCGCTCACTCAAACTGTACATTGCAAAAAAGTGAAAAGCTGCAACAAGTAGGTAGT